ATGTAACAAATTCTATGTCAGTAATTTGTTTTTAAAAAGAATATGTCAGATGAAAAAAGTACCCTCTAAAAAATTAACAAATTAGAGTCAGGTATATTTTAGTAACACCCTGTAGTATGATCTATTTTTAACTAGAGTGTGACCTACATTATAACTGTATCTTTTAATGACCAAAGCAGCATTAGAAGATGGCAACTGGGTATTTTAGAAACTAATTACAATGTTTTGCATTCAGTAATAAACATCAATGTTCTTTTGTCAAGTTGAAAGATCACTTATTTTTACAACATAATTATACGACCTCATGTTGATTCCTACGAAGCCTACCGCTGTGAAAATTTATTGCACTGGCATTGTTATCTCAATTTCTTTTCATTCTGAGCAATTATATGCAACACGATCAAAAAAATATTGCAAATAATATTTAATTTGAAGAATTTTAAAACACGGAAGATTTAAAAATTAATCGGGAGGGGCGGAAGGGGGGTGAAATATCGGGAGATTTGTCTCCCGTCGGAAGAATCACATGTATGAGTTGTATTAAGCAAATCTTTTTTTTATAACTGTCCCTACTCTCTGCAGTGATCAGGCATTTTATGTGTGTGGATTGTGGCTTCATGTCCTTGACCACCCAATGAAAAGAGGGGTAACATATAATCATGATAATGATGTGTAGCCCCTTCCCCCATCCCCCACTTTCCCACAAAAAAAGAATGTTTACTTTAGCTATTTGACTGCTTTTGACTTATTAATAGTATTTGACTGCTTTTGACTTATTAATAGTATTTGACTGCTTTTGACTTATTGATAGTATTTGACTGCTTTTGACTTATTGATAGTATTTGACTGCTTTTGACTTATTGATAGTATTTAACTGCTTTTGACTTATTAATAGTATTTGACTGCTTTTGACTTATTAATAGTATTGACTGCTTTTGACTTATTAATAGTATTTGACTGCTTTTGACTTATTAATAGTATTTGACTGCTTTTGACTTATTGATAGTATTTGACTGCTTTTGACTTATTAATAATATTTGACTGCTTTTGACTTATTAATAGTATTTGACTGCTTTTGACTTATTAATAGTATTTGACTGCTTTTGACTTATTAATAGTATTTGACTGCTTTTGACTTATTGATAGTATTTGACTGCTTTTGACTTATTAATAGTATTTGACTGCTTTTGACTTATTGATAGTATTGACTGCTTTTGACTTATTAATAGTATTTGACTGCTTTTGACTTATTAATAGTATTTGACTGCTTTTGACTTATTGATAGTATTTGACTGCTTTTGACTTATTAAGGACATACGCAACGTAGTTTGAACTTTATTGTCTTTTTCCTTGGAGTTGAAGAGTTCCAATACTTAAAGGAACTGTGTGCTACATTTTAATGTCTATATATGCTATTGTACACTTCTTCTAAAACAAGTTTTGATAAACAAAACATCTAGAATATATGCTTAGTAATTTTTGTATATTTTTCTTTGAATTATACAAGAATGTTCATCAATTGATATCTTTTCAAAACCTCTGGTAATGCATGCTGATTTTTTGTCTACAAACATCTGATAGCACTATAATCTTAAATTAAGAATATCTCGAAAAATTATCAGTAGGTAAGGTACGTTGCGTATGTCCTTAATAGTATTTGACTGCTTTTGACTTATTAATAGTATTTGACTGCTTTTGACTTATTACAATGTAATAGTATTTGACTGCTTTTGACTTATTGATAGTATTTGACTGCTTTTGACTTATTAATAGTACTGTCATGCTCAACCACCTACAGTAGTCATGGATTTCTTATTTTTTTTTTCCATTATATACCGGTAAGTACAAATTTGCACAGCCCTAATATAAAAACAGCAATACAGAAGTATGTGTGAAAGTCTAAGTGCTAAGACAAGGTATTAGTATCAGGCTTTACAACCAAGTTCATTTATCATTATCTGACTAAAATAAATAACTTAAAGGTATATCAGGGACTTAACAATTCTATTTTAACTACCTGTAAAGGGTACTTCCCCTTCGGAAAAAATGTCAAAATTCCCCGCAAAAAATATCCTGATTTAACATACATGCAACATTTAAAATATATTTATTTATGATACTTCTAGAAATGACCTCTGTATTAGCTCTCAGAATGCAGATTTTTGTAACATTTTTCTGAAAATTTCCAGACCCCCATTATAGTCTATTCAGACCTAGGGCTGGGTATTGACTAGAGATTTTGTATTGTGATATATTGCAATATTTTTAATTGTATATGTATTGCAATATGTATTGCAATATTTTTCAACAAAAATTTAAATGGTATATTCTTATTATTTTAATTTCATTTTACATGTAGAATGTACATAACTATGATAAATAACCAATAAAAGATATCTTGTTGACTGAATTACAGTTATACAACTAAATACACCCATACAACAGCTGTTATCTTACTGTTTGGCACGATTGCAAACCTTTCTGACAACTTTTCATTATATTTTATCATGATAGAATTCCTGAGTCCAAGCATTTTGCTGGTATATCGGTATTACAAAAACGTATTCAGGGCTCTCGATTCTCTATATTTGGGGCCGTTCAAAGGCCCCATTCCCAATTCAAAAAAGGCACCTTTTTTCCCAATTGAATGTGTTAATTTTCCCAATCTGTCACTTCCCCAAATATTAAAGAACATTTAGTAAGATATATAGTTACTAAACTTGTAATTCATATTTTTCTGCATTACAAAACAGAAACTTAGTTCATAACAACCACAGAAACTCAATATATCATAAATTTAATGCATAATGTCTAGTTATGATTTCCCCAAAATTACCCAAAAGGTCGCTAATTTTCCCAATTTTTATGGCCCCGGCCCCAGTCCCAAAAAGTGGTATGAGAGCCCTGGTATTGCAATACGATATTTTTTGTCAGCATACCGCAATATACTAGAAAATCCCTTGTATATATTATGTAAATGAGATGATATAGGGACCTCAAGGTTTCAAGATTGGCTAGCAGTTATCGGCATTTAACGCTTAACTCAAATAGTGAGATGATGTGGAACAAATGGGGGAGGGGAGTATAAACAGATCAGAACAGTATGTGAAGCCAGACCCCCTGAAACAGACGGGTGCTCCAGGACCATTTGAGATATTGGGTCAATGACCATAATATTCCTCCCACCTAAAATGTTTTATCTCCCCCAAAACAAGAGCTCAGACTCTGACATCCCTGACAGGATTATATGAATGCCATGAATCATTTAAGAAATAAGATATCATTTTTAGAGTAACTGTTTCATTGGGATATATAAGTTGGTCACATGATTATATCCTATAACGCCCGAAGGGTGTTATAGAAGATTTGATCACGTACCAACTTCATGTCATATTCCAATGAAATTCTAAAAAATGATATTTTATTTCATATATTTATATTTTACTTTTATTTGTGTAAAAAGGAAAAATAGGCACTATTTAGACTTTGTTATTGAAATGCAATATAACGTACCTACAACATCATGTGACGTCACAATCGTAACTTTCCAAATGGCTCATGGTTTGCTTTCTATACACAAGAAAGTCTGATCATGTGACCAACTGCATGTCATTGAAAATTGAAAGTAAATTTAATTAGTACTGTCATATAAAGAAAGACACCTGCAAATGTAAATAAAATGTTTTATCTCCCCCCAAAACAAGAACTCGGACTCTGACATCCCTGATAGGAATAAATGAATGCCATGAATCATTAAGTATTATAGACATTAGCAAGGTATTGTGCTTACACTCAGACTAAAATGTCCAAGATACTGCCCACCAAGGGTATCTGAACGTTGACCTTTGTGTGGGTTTTTTTTTTGTATGCTTTGTTATTGTACAATTTTTGGGGGAAACTGGATTAGAATATCTCTATGACATTGAGCTTTAGGGGAGGGTAGTAGAAAAGTTAAAAACTGTGAGTAAAGTGGTTTGGGTTGTAATTATCAACCAGGATAGCTCAGGTGGTAGAGGGCCTGACTAGTGAAACATTAAGGGTCCCGGGTTCAATTCCTTGTCCAGTCATACATTGTCTCAGATAGCTCAGGTGGTAGAGGGCCTGACTAGTGATGCAGGGGTCCCAGATCTGATTCCTGTCCAGCCATACATTTTCTCCTTTCCTGTTACATAATTTAGTGCCATTGACCACCTCCTGGACTTGCAGGTGAAAGTTTAGCTGCCAGGGGCTAATAAGAACTTGGGCTGTGTCTTCGAGGGCAAAGACAATTTAAGGAGGGAGGAATGTAGTGGTTTGGGCCATGGATATTGGCCTGGGTAGTACAGTTGGTAGAGGACCTGATTATTGATATAGAGGTCCTGGGTTAGATTCCTGGTCCAGCCTCACATTTTCTCCTTTTTTCATGAGTACATGTAACAATCACTCCTTATGTGTGAATCCCGAAACACAAAACTCTGTACAGTGGAAAGTACAAAGGAAATTCTATTTTAAACATGGAAGATTTATCTGTAAACACAAATACATGATTTAAAAGTGTTTCATAAAAGTCCTTCCCTAAGGAAGTTTGCCTTATTTTAAACAAAGACCAATTTATATATAATTATATATACCGGTAATAAATAACATGTCACTTTCTTATTTATGCTATAAATTCAAGGCAAAGACCACAGATATTTGAAGAACTTATATCAACTTTATATGTTTATTGCTTTTGTTTATGTAGTTCATAGTTACATAATTAAAAATAAAATGATATAGAATATTTAGTTGTTAATTTTATGCAAATTAAGGATTTAACAGGCATTAGACAATTGCAATCTTTAAGGGAAATCAGAAATATTGTAGCGTAGACTGCTAATTCTTTTTTTTTTTTTAAATTAGCGTAGACAGCTTATGAATAATTGTTTACAGAATAGATCAATAAAACAAATAATTATTTTGCGTGGCCTGATGTTTTGGTGTGTACATTTCAGTTCCTGTCGGACCAGGGTGTATATATATAGAGAGTTACACTTCCTGTTTGTCGAGGAGTGACGATTTATAAGCGGACGGTGGTCAAAATGTCAGGTTTGTGCTGTACAATTTATTTCTGTTATATCTTGTACAAGTTTATCAGCAAAAATATTAATAACATAGGTGTTTAAGTGATATCTTTCCTCTCTCCTTTTCTTCCTCAATCTAATTTCTGATGTGTTCCCAGTTATTTTAAGGCTCGATAGAATGCAGAATTCTGGAAGAATTATATTATTCTCATAATATCATAAGAAATAGTAAATGTGTTAATGTGATGCAGGGTGAATTGGGAGAATTTAAAGTATTCATAATACAAGGAAAATAATATTATATGATTATTGTCGTTTGAAGTTTCCTGTGAATAAGAGATCTCTACAAAGAGCTTTATATAATAGCTAGATAACACTTGACATTTGCATTTTTCTGTCAGCGTTGTATAAACATTTTAGAAACCTGTTTTTATCTGTTGCACTGACACAGTTGTGAGCTGATTTTCAAAATTTGATATATTTCTAAACAAAATAATTTGTGGAGATAAATTATTTTTGAAGTTAATAAAATGCAAAATTAATACACATTTTGTAGCAAATCTTTTTGCCAAAAAAAAAGAAGAAAAAGAAAACACTTATGAACAATTTCTTTTGATCTGAGGCCAGTCTTAAGTTGTGTAATCTAAAGGAAGTAATACATTGAAAATATAAAAGTTTTTTAAGAGATCTAATATCTTTATCAACTGAATCAACAAATACAGTTCACCCAGAAGGATACAGGCCATCCTTATTCAGGAAGGAGTGAGATTTAGTCTACGTGTAAAATACACTTCACGATATCATGTAGGCATTTATCATTTTTATCATGATTTTACATGTATTAGTGAGCTAGGATGACTTTGAACTTTATTAAGATTAGGAAATAGACTTTTTATATGTGTTTTAGGAATGTACAACTTGTTCATGGGAGGTTACTTTGAATTATACTGGGTTCAAAATCAAACATTAGAATTTCCTTGAGAACTTAAAGCATGAATTACTGTAAACCAACTTTGAATTGTGATCGAGAAATATCAGCAAGTTTCAGGACATTCTTTTACTCGCAAATATTTCTCTTTGCGAACCAATACTTCACCTTTGTAATTATTTAGAATATTGCCATTGTTGTGAAAATTAGTAGTGGCAGATAAACTCCAAACTGTAGAATTGTGAATAAAAGATGTTGCGAATAATAGTTTACAGTGTAGAAATAATAAGAGATGTTTGCCTAATGTAATCATGGTAATAATATTATCTAAATAAATGCATATAATAATTACTATAATCATATTGATCATATATATAGATATATATATATATATATACATAGATATAATCATATATTTAATAGTTGGATTTTTAAATTGACACAAAACACAACCACCATGCGTACTTAAGAGTTTGAAAGTTAACACGTAACTTGTGACTTGACACTTTGAGACTCTGTACTGTAGACATGATGTGCATGTCGTTGAAGGCCCTGTGAACTCCGGGTACTAATAGCCGCCCATGTTTCAAGCCTTAGTTAAGTTCAATGACTGTAAACATCTGTATGGTGTAATTGTATACTATAGGAAATGTAGTCATGATATACAAGTGGACTGAATGACAGAACAAATCCGGAACTGATTAGTTTTATGCTGAGTCATGGATCACTGTATCAATAAGATAGGGCATCACAGTGGAAACTCGATATAACGTCTAATGATTTGGGTGAAATTTTGTGATTAAATGTCTGTTTAAGTTGATAATTTTTTAATAGATTAGATCTTCAACATGTTCAATCCAGGATCAAAGTTTCATATTGGAATAAATAGGAAAAAATATTTGAAAATCTTTTTTTTATCAAGAATGGTGGGACCATGATTAGTTATATCAATATGCAAGCATCCTCAGTGCAGACTCAGAATGGAGTCAGAGTAATAGCTTAAGAAAGAGAAAAATCTAAAAAAAAAAAAAATCTTCCTCAGAAGACAGCAGCGTCAATGTGTGACAATTATCGTGACCAGACATAAATGAGAGATGTATGGCTTCTCTTGTAACATTAGTATCTAGTCTGCAAAATACCGTACACATAGATATATATACAAAATACCGTACACATAGATATATATACAAAATACCATACACATAGATATATATACAAAATACCGTACACATAGATATATATACAAAATACCGTACACATAGATATATATACAAAATACCGTACACATAGATATATATACAAAATACCGTACACATAGATATATATACAAAATACCATACACATAGATATATATACAAAATACCGTACACATAGATATATATACAAAATACCGTACACATAGATATATATATACAAAATACCGTACACATAGATATATATACAAAATACCATACACATAGATATATATACAAAATACCGTACACATAGATATATATACAAAATACCGTACACATAGATATATATACAAAATACCGTACACATAGATATATATACAAAATACCGTACACATAGATATATATACAAAATACCGTACACATAGATATATATACAAAATACCGTACACATAGATATATATACAAAATACCGTACACATAGATATATATACAAAATACCGTACACATAGATATATATACAAAATACCGTACACATAGATATATATACAAAATACCGTACACATAGATATATATACAAAATACCGTACACATAGATATATATACAAAATACCGTACACATAGATATATATACAAAATACCATACACATAGATATATATACAAAATACCGTACACATAGATATATATACAAAATACCGTACACATAGATATATATACAAAATACCGTACACATAGATATATATACAAAATACCATACACATAGATATATATACAAAATACCGTACACATAGATATATATACAAAATACCGTACACATAGATATATATACAAAATACCGTACACATAGATATATATACAAAATACCGTACACATAGATATATATACAAAATACCATACACATAGATATATATACAAAATACCATACACATAGATATATATACAAAATACCGTACACATAGATATATATACAAAATACCGTACACATAGATATATATACAAAATACCGTACACATAGATATATATACAAAATACCGTACACATAGATATATATACAAAATACCGTACACATAGATATATATACAAAATACCGTACACATAGATATATATACAAAATACCGTACACATAGATATATATACAAAATACCATACACATAGATATATATACAAAATACCGTACACATAGATATATATACAAAATACCGTACACATAGATATATATACAAAATACCGTACACATAGATATATATACAAAATACCGTACACATAGATATATATACAAAATACCGTACACATAGATATATATACAAAATACCGTACACATAGATATATATACAAAATACCGTACACATAGATATATATACAAAATACCATACACATAGATATATATACAAAATACCGTACACATAGATATATATACAAAATATATATACACATTGATATACCGGTATACACATGGGTATATTTCAGGTTGAAATTTTTCAATTTCCATGTGAAATATGCATGAATATAGCATATTTAATTTGTTTAAACTCTCAAATAGCCCTCAAGTTTACTTCCTCAATTTATATGTCCTTATATAAATTATGGTAAAGGAGGTATTTCCTATCATAAAAGCTAAAGGTGTTGTCACACACAAACCTTTCATAAAAGCTATAGGTTATTAAATGTGTTGTCAAACACAAACCTTTCATTATGTATCCATTAATTTATAATCATAGCTTCAAAGATCTTAAAAAACTAGACATAACCTTAAAAAAAAATCCTAAAATAAATGTGAGCAAGGATGTATAAATTCAATGAAAGACAAGAAAACTCTTATTAGTGTCTAATTTTTATGTTACCTGAATCACATGAGTGACTAGTGTCTAATTTTTATGTTACCTGAATCACGTGAGTGACTAGTGTCTAATTTTTATGTTACCTAAATCACATGAGTGACTAGTGTCTAATTTTTATGTTACCTAAATCACATGAGCGATTAGTGTCTAATTTTTATGTTACCTAAATCACATGAGTGACTAGTGTCTAATTTTTATGTTACCTAAATCACACGAGTGACTAGTGTCTAATTTTTATGTTACCTAAATCACATGAGTGACTAGTGTCTAATTTTTATGCTACCTGAATCACATGCATGACTAGTGTCTAATTTTTATGTTACCTAAATCACATGATTAACTAGTGTCTAATTTTTATGCTACCTAAATCATGTGAGTGACTAGTGTCTAATTTTTATGTGTTAATTCCTTTCTTTATAATTCAGCTGTAATTTTAATTAATCAGAGTAGGTCTAATGTCTCAGATTTTTTATCATTGTAGGTCTTGTCAAAGCCAAGCAATATGATTGGAAGGACAGCAATCTAGCATTGTTTGGATCAGATACAGAGAAACAGGTCAAAAGTAGGTATTATACTCTATACAAAGAAACAGGTCAAAAGTACGTATTAACCCTATACAGAGAAACAGGTCAAAAGTATGTATTATACTCTATACAGAGAAACAGGTCAAAAGTACGCATTAACCCTATACAGAAACAGGTCAAAAGTATGTATTATACTCTATACAAAGAAACAGGTCAAAAGTACGTATTAACCCTATACAGAGAAACAGGTCAAAAGTATGTATTATACTCTATACAGAGAAACAGGTCAAAATTATGTATTATACCCTATACAGAGAAACAGGTCAAAAGTATGTATTATACCCTATACAGAGAAACAGGTCAAAAGTAGGTATTATACTCTATACAGAGAAACAGGTCAAAAGTAGGTATTATACCCTATACAGAGAAACAGGTCAAAAGTAGGTATTATACCCTATACAGAGAAACAGGTCAAAAGTATGTATTATACCCTATACAGAGAAATGGGTCAAAAGTAATCTATGTATTATACACATAGGGCTGGGATGATATATTGATGATATCGATTTTGTGTGAGGATGATACACATATAGATAGCACATTTGATTATTAACTATTTTTTTTATGTCTGTACATATTGTAATTTTCTATGGGAAGCCTTAACCTACCTGCGTATACAGAGAAACAGGTCAAAAGTAGGTATTATACCCAATACAGAGAAACAGGTCAAAAGTAGGTATTAAACCCTATACAGAGAAACATCATTAAATTTATCGTTTCATTGAAACTTTCGTTACAATGTCAAATTAACGAATGCAGACTCGGCTCTTTTGTACAGTAAAAGTCTGCAGCAGATTGTCATTGTACTCGGGAATGGTATTTGTGAATTTATAAAAATGCATGTTAACAGCCCGTAAGTCTAATACACAATTTATTATGATATAATTTTATTAATTAAGCCTACAAAAATTGTCTTAACTTACATGTATATCGATATAATAAAACAATTGATTACCCCGTGTGAATTCAACATGGTGAAATGAGGACCCTCGACCTGGACCACTCGCTGACCTGACCTGACCTCGGCCGCTATGCGGCCTCGGTCAGGTCAGGTCACCTCGTGGGCCAGGTCGAGGGTCCTTATTTCACCATGTTGGCCTCATAAGAGGTAATGAATTGTATATTATACCCTATACAGAGAAACAGGTCAAAAGTATGTATTATACCCTATACAGAGAAACAGGTCAAAAGTAGGTATTATACCCAATACAGAGAAACAGGTCAAAAGTAGGTATTATACCCTATACAGAGAAACAGGTCAAAAGTAGGTATTATACCCTACGCAGCTATGTTAAGGCTTCCCGAAGCTTTAAAATGCGTTCAAAACATAATATGTCATTGCGAGGTCGGTTTTGATTTTAATTTATAAGTATTGAACTTTAGTACTTCCAATTTATATAAAGGGTTTTCTCGGCTATATATTAGCATACTTGTTATGATATCACATGACTTTGTTGATCACGTGACGGTCAATTATAATTTTTTTAAGTGTTTCATATAAATCGCTTCATCGCAGCTGATTAACACAATATTTATTAACATTTTGTTATATAAATAAACTCATCGTATCCTTGTGTATCCGAAATGTGCTTGGGAAAAGTCGTAGTATTACTTAGGTACAAAATATTTCCTGAGAAATTCAACTTACCTACAAATTTGAGGGTATTTTCCACACAATATCGTAATCTGTATTAAAACAAAGCCAACACACATTTTTCCCAAGCAAGATTCAGTTAGAGAACAACCTCTTCTTACAGATTTCCACAAAAATTCTCAGATTAATCCTCATTAATCACCTGCGCCAGGCTCTTTTATACATACAAAACAAATTCTTCTTCAACCACGGGTATAAATAGAGTACATTTCAAAAGTATATTTTTCATTAGCATTCTGAACATGATGAATTTCAATCAAGGGTAGGTAAGCGGTGTATTTTAAAGATATTCGGACATATAAGACTTAAAAAACCTTTAACGACCCTTGGATTTTTCAATAGCTATCTAGCATTTTACATGCAGTTTGAAATAAAGAGTAAAGTTCATGACACTCTCCCCGTCATAACACCTCAAGTTTGCAGTGGCCTGACGTCATTTTCCATTATGACGTCACATTTTGGTAGTTCAGAGATGTAAAGGCACAAAGTGCACTGTCATTTTCTACGGGAAGCCTTAACCTACCTGCGTATACAGAGAAACAGGTCAAAAGTATGTATTATACCCTATACAGAGAAACTTTTAAAAAGTATGTATTATACTCTATACAGAGAAACAGGTCAAAAGTAGGTATTATACCCTATACAGAGAAACAGGTCAAAAGTAGGTATTATACCCTATACAGAGAAACAGGTCAAAAGTATGTATTATACCCTATACAGAGAAACGGGTCAAAAGTAAACTATGTATTATACACAATGTCATAGGGCTGGGATGATATATTGATGATATCGATTTTGTGTGAGGATGATACGCATATAGAAAGCACGTTTGATTATTAACTATTTTTGTTGTGTCTGTACTTGTTGTTATTTTTGTTTTCTGTATGGTTGTTATTTCTGTTTTGTCTGTACATGTTGTTATTTTTGTTTGTACTTGTTGTTATTTTTAGCTCACCTCGACGAATGACCAGGTTAAAGTTTTTGGAGCAGGTCCATTCCCAAGTAACTATAAGCCCTACCTTTACCAAACTTGCATACTATAAGCCCTACCTGGACCAAACTTGCATGGATGATGCGTCTAGGGATGGACACTACCACTCTTGCTTCGGATGCTGGATCTGACCTAGATTTTCCAGATGAATGACCAGGTTAAAGTTTTTGGAGCAGGTCCATTCCCAAGTAACTATAAGCCCTACCTGGACCAAACTTGCATGGATGATGCGTCTAGGGATGGACACTACCACTCTTGCTTCGGATGCTGGATCTGACCTAGATTTTCCAGATGAGTGACCAGGTTAAAGTTTTTGGAGCAGGTCCATTCCCAAGTAATGATTAGCCCTACCTGGACCAAACTTAATTGCATGATGCATCTAGGGATGGACACTACCACACTTGCTTCAGATGCTGTATTTGACCTAGATTTTCCAGATGAGTGATCAGGTTAAAGTTCTTGGAGCAAGTCCATTCCCAAGTAATGATTAGCCCTACCAGGACCAAACTTGCATGCATGATGCATCTAGGGATGGACACTACCACACTTGCTTCAGATGCTGGATTTGACCTAGATTTTCTAGATGATTGACTAGGATAAAGTTTTTTAGAGCAGGTCCATTCCCAAGTAACTATAAGCCCTACCTTGACCAAACTTGCATGGATGATGCATCCAGGGATTGACATTACCACACTTGCTTCAGATGCTGGATCTGAGCTAGATTTTCCACATGTAAGACCCGGTTTAGATTTTGGAGCAGTCCTGTTCCCAAGTAACTAGATGATGCATCTAGGGATGGACACTAACCAACCTGCTTCGGATGCTGGATCTGACCTAGATTTTCCACTTGAGCGAATTTTTGCTATATTTTAACCAAATTAGCATGGATGATGTATCTAGGGATGGACACTTCCAGACTTGCTTTGGATTCTGAATCTGACCTACATTTTCCAGATGAGTGACCAGGGTAATTTTTTAGAGAAGCTTTATAATATTATGGCCTTTTATGATTTAACTTGCATAGATGGTGCATCTAAGGATGAAAACTTCCAGACTTGCTTTGGATTTTGGAACTCACCACAATTTTCTTGATTACTTAACAGCTTAAAAGTTCTTTGAGCAGGTCTATTTCCAAGTAACTATAAGTCCTACTTAAACCAAACTTGCATGAATATTGATCTTGGGATGTACCTTAAGTAGAAAAAAAAATTTTATGTGAAACTTGCCTTACTTATAGATAACATTCGTCGAGGTTAGCTTCGTAATCTTTGATTACCTATGTTTGTTTGTACTTGTTGTTATTTTTGTTTGTACTTGTTGTTATTTTTGTTTGTACTTGTTGTTATTTTTGTTTGTACTTGTTGTTATTTTCTTTGTTTATACATGTTATTTTTGTTGTAGAGGAGTCTGCAGAGTCTGAGCCCGCCTGGAAAGGAATTGGACAGAAACCCGGACTCCAAATCTGGAGGATTGTGGTCAGTATTTATGCAGTATGCCAGGTTTTTAGGGCACTGCGGGCACCCTATAGTGATCAGTCTGTCCGTCCATCTGTCCTTCCATCCATCCGTCCTTCCTTCCATCTGTCCATCTGAGATCTCTTGTTCAAAGCATATCTTCTCTCTCCTTGGCCCAATCTGGCTCATACTTCACCCACAGAGTGTCTTTGGGTAAAGAGTCTGCAGTGACCTTGAACCATGTTTCTAGGTCTAAGGTTAAGGTAATAGCAGAATTATATGTCTGGAGCATATCTTCTCTCCCCTTGGTCCAATGTGGCTCATACTTCACTCACAGAATGCCACTGGTCAATGGATGTGCAGTGACCTTGAACGAAGTTTTTAGGTCAAGGGTCAAGGTCAAAAATAGGCTACCTTACATTTTCATGTTCGTTGCCGAAAGGTGGGCTCTTTGAGATGGCCACCATCTCAACGATATCTAGTATCACACTATTTTGGTAGGTATATATGCTGTATACAAAGTTATATCACCCTATTGTGGTCAGTATATATACTGTATACAAGGCTATATCCCCCTATTGATTGTGGTCAGTATGTATGCTGTATACAAGGTTATATCCCCCTATTGATTATTGTCAGTATATATGCTGTATACAAGGTTGTATCACCCTATTGATTGTGGTCAGTATATATGCTTTATACAAGGTTGTATCACCCTATTGATTGTGGTCAGTATATATGCTTTATACAAGGTTATATCACCCTATTGTGGTCAGTATATATGCTGTATACAAGCTTGTATCACCCTATTGATTGTGGTCAGTATATGTACTGTATACAAGGTTGTATCACCCTACTGATTGTGGTCAGTATATATACTGTATACAAGGTTATATCACCCTATTGTGGTCAGTATATATGATGTATACAAGGTTGTATCACCCTATTGATTGTGGTCAGTATATGTACTGTATACAAGGTTGTATCACCCTATTGATTGTGGTCAGTATATATGCTTTATACAAGGTTATATCACCCTATTGATTGTGGTCAGTATATATGCTGTATACAAGGTTGTATCACCCTATTGATTGTGGTCAGTATATATACTGTATACAAGGTTATATCACCCTTTTACATATGATGTATATGCAAACAATTTTTCCCCATTTTCATTTTCCATCTTGCAAGTGTAATTTTGTTAAAAGATATAACTATATATCTCTCAAATTTGCCCCTATTTTGAATTCACCCACTGAGGTTAAAAAGAAAAAAAACAAGAGGAATTTTTTTCTTTATATAGTTTATACACTTGTAAAGTAGATTTATACACAGCATTCCCCAGATATATTATATGCTACACCCAGTATTCCCCAGATATATATGCTAACATTTGATAAAAGGTGTCCAGCATTATAAGCATGGTATTACAGGCCTCAGTCTCTTGATTTAAAAGTTGATTCTATGATGTTTAACCCTCAAGTAACAAGCACACTTTATAAAATATGTTCACTTTAATCCAAGGACAATAACTCTTGGAGTTATTCTGAATATTTTACTGTCATTATGAAAATTGCGGGGTTGGGTTGGTTAAGTTGGTGACAGATGTCCTTGTGTCCCATTGTTGTCGTTAACATTGTTGACAAGTCTTGTTTGGGCTTTAAATTCTAGTTCAGTAAAAACATGGTTATAGCAAACATGCATATAATAAGTTTATGATTACAGCAAAAAGAGTTTTCACTCCCTATAGTTCAGAAACATATTATGATCTTATCAGGTATAATGAATTTTGTTTATAATGAATCAAAATTTTACATTCCTGGTACTTCCTTTGTGTTTTCTTACAGACAACAACTGAATATGTTAGCTTCATCAGAAATAATTATTTGTTTAAAATGATTTTATTTATTCTAGAAATTCAAGGTGACATCATGGCCCAAAGAGGATTATGGGAAATTTTACAATGGAGATTCTTACATTGTATTGAATGTGAGTATTTCTTCATAGATGAATGGTTGTCTACATCTTTATTTGTAAAAAAAAAATTTCAACTGGTTGCTTTACTCCTAAAACCCTTGTGTTTTTGTAACCTTATATTAAGCCCTGTATATTTGACTGATAATGCAATGACATCAGGTTTGTTGACTGTTAGTGTAATGACACTTGATTTGTTGACCTATTGTAATGACCCTGTAATATTATAACTGTTAACTAATGACCCATGTTTAGTTGACCATTGATTTAAATACTCCTGTAATGAAATGACCCCTGAAATGTAATGACCCCTGCAATGTAACAACCCCTGAAGTGATATTACCCCTGTAAATGTAATTATCCCTGTAATGTAATGACCCCTGCAGTGATATTACCCCTGTAAATTTATAAAACCTGTAATGTACTGACCCCTGTAATGTACTGACCCCTGCAATGTAATGACCCCTGTAATGCAATGACCCTTGATTTGTTGATTGTTATTGTAATGACCCCAGTGAAGGGATGACCCTTGATTTGTGTACTGATTATTGTAATGATCCCTATAATGTAATGATCCTTGATTTGTGTACTGTCGTTGTAATGGCCCCTGTAATGTAATGATCCTTGATTTGTGTACTGGTTATTGTAATGATCCCTATAATGTAATGATCCTTGATTTGTGTACTGTCGTTGTTATGGCCCCTGTTATGTAATGATCCTTGATTTGTGTACTGGTTATTGTAATGATCCCTATAATGTAATGATCCTTGATTTGTGTACTGTCGTTGTTATGGCCCCTGTAATGTAATGATCCTTGATTTGTGTACTGGTTATTGTAATGACCCCTGTAATGTAATGGCCCTGGGTTTGTCTACTGTCATTGTAATGGCCCCTGTAATGTAATGGCCCCTGTGATGTAATGACCCCTGTAATGTAATGACCCTTGATTTATATACTGTTACTGTAATGACCCCTGTAATGTAATGACCCTTGATTTATATACTGTGACTGTAATGACCCCTGTAATGTAATGACCCTTGATGTTGATTTATATATTGTAACTGTAATAACCCCTGTAATATAATGATTATCAATTTCTTTTTAGACCTACAAGGAGGAGAGTAGTGATGAGCTACTGTATGATGTCCACTTCTGGATCGGGAAGTACAGCACTCAGGTAGGATTACTTATATACAGCACTCAGGTATGATTACTTATATATGGTGCAGAACTTAAAAAATTAGGACCACCTGATGAACATTAGAAAACATGAATTCTCTCATTTCTAGGAATTACCCTCTATCTACAGGTAATGCAGATTGCAGTGAAAGGGCATTAAATATATGAGTATTTTAAGAAAGTACGGTTTTACTAAATTATTTCAAATTAAGAAGGGAGGGGCACTTATAGGGGTGAATATATGATATTATTTTTCGATTTAACAAAACCCATCTGTTGAAACTGGCAGGGCATATGTCATGGCTTTTTATATAATATGAAATGAACCATTATAGAATTTAGCAAAAAAAAAAAAATTGTCAAACCTTCGGAAAGAAAATCATTTTCAGGATTTTACTAAAAAAAAGATTCTGTAGACTTGTTTTGCTTGTATCTCAAAGATGGATATAATCTTACTTTCATTTCATTGTTTTGATTTGTCTGCAGGATGAGTACGGTACAGCAGCGTATAAAACAGTGGAACTTGATACATTTCTTGACGACAAGCCAATCCAACACAGAGAAGTCCAGGGCTTTGAGTCTGATCTCTTCAAGTCCTATTTTGATACAATCACGTAAGTTTATTTTTGAACAAATTCTAGTAAGTGCTTAGTCCCTGCTGGTCTACCGTCACTCAGTGGTATCCTGTCTGACTTTGTAGGAAAAATTGCTCTTTGTATCTCTAAATCATAAGAATTTTATTTTACAGAATTCTAGAAGGAGGAGCAGACACCGGATTTAACAAGGTGACCCCTGAAAAGTACACACCTCGTCTGTTTCACTTCTGTGGCACCAGGAAACATGTGGAGGTCAAACAGGTAACAGAAATATATTACATAATTTTGTTCCACACGTATTTTGCTTATAAAATGTGTGGAAAGTTTCAGCATTTAATACACCATAACATGGATAGGGAGGTCAAAAGGTTATGATTCTTATTTTGATGTCACAAACATTGATTGCCATGCAAGTGCAACGTCATAAGCGAAAAATCAAAATCCACACTCACATTCAAGAGTTTAATGTTAGTAGCTGTTAGAATGGCTCTTCCATTAATTGTAACTCACCTGAAGGATAATTCAGGGGTTTTGAAATATACAATACATATACAGACAAGGCAGTGAGTTAAAAAATTTAAAATTTATAGAAGTATTGATTGTGTGGATATTTTTTTTATATTTTATTGAGGCCCCATGAGAAAATATACATGTAGAATGGTATAATTACATTGTTCACCTGTCTATATGTCCATCTACCTTTTCGTGTACATGTACACATCTTTCATTCTGTCTAGCTGTAGGCAAACTTGACAATGAATTGTTTTGTTGCCTTTCTTTTTTTTTCCTTATGATTCACATATAAGAAATGAATGGTTTTGTTGCCATTTTTTCATTCTCTTGGACCACGTATAAGTGTTGCTAATAGTATTTCATCCCTAGGTTCCACGCTCTGCGAGTCGATTGGACAGTGGAGATGTTTTTATTCTGGATCTGGGTTTGACTATTTACCAGTGGAACGGTAAAGGCAGCAACAAGGACGAGAGGATGAAGGTATGTTTAAGGGGCAGAGTACAATTAGAATACTCATGTGGCGGTCAGACGGGTTTGAATGCCGGTGGCCAGATAGCTCAGTTGTACACCACCTGACTGGAGATTCAGGGGCCCCGGATAATACTCGGATACAGGGATACTGTTTTAGGTTTACATGGTTAAAATTTAATTTATTAATTTTGATTGAGTTAATCTTTTTAACGCATCTGGGTCAATTGCTCAGAGAACTAATGCTGTGGCCATTTGTGCGGTGTGCGATGTGCGTCAACTTTTTGTAATATGGACCAATTGGCCATATCTCAAGAACCCCTTGGTCATTTTTTTGTCAAATTTGTCACAGAGTATCCTTCACCCACACCCAGGGGCTCTCATTGAAAATAAAAAGAAGGATGTGACCCTTAAATAAAGGGAGATAATCTGATTCTCAAATAAGGGGAGATAATCAAAAGTAGTGGTTGCTAAAAAATCTTCTTTTCTAGAACCGCTGGGCAGATTATCACCAAACTTAAGCATAAGGATGAGGATAGGCTATTAATTCAAAAATTGTTCAAGGCATCACCCTGGGACAAAGTATGTGATCTAAAGGTCACTTCAAAGTTGCCTAAAATTTTATTTTATTAAATCTTTCATATTTTTCTCACTATAAAGAATATATCTATATATTGTATTTCATATGTATGTATTTCAAATAAAGAGGATAAGAATCAACAAACTTTGACAGTTGATGCATCTTGGGTTCTCAGAATATGTGTTTGCAAGAAGTAGGTCATGGTGACCTACTTTTGGAATTTTATGACTTCTTCTAAATAGTTCCAATAATAAGGGGCTCAAAATCATAAATATTGGAATATTTAGGATAATAAGAGGTTTAGAATCATCAAATTTTGTCAATTGATGCATCGCAAGTCAACGGACTGTGTCAACAAAAAGTAAGTCACAGTTTACTTCTTTTGGAATTTCATTGTTGTATCTCAATATTTAGGGTAATAAGAGACTAAAAATGATCAAACTTTGTAAGTTGACTAACTTGAGTCCTTGTATTGTTTCAACCAAAAAGTAGGTTACTGTGACCTACCTTTGGTATTTCATGACTATATCTGAATGTATCAGATATTAAGAGGTTTAGAATCATTAAACTTTGTCAATCGATGCATCTTTGGTTCTCAGAGTATGCAAACTAAGAAGTAGGTCATGGTGACCTACTTTTGGAATTTCAAGGTTTTATCCAAAGATTTAGGAAATCTTCTTAAGATGCTGCTGGAAAATTTCTTAAGGAGCGACATGTATCTGTTATATGTCAGTTACAGAGTCTTTGCTATTTTTTCCTCCAGGCACAGAAGGGGGGGGGGGGGGGGGATAAGTAATTATTTAAAAAAAAAATGTTTGAACAAATAAATACTTTTTTTTATAAATAATAAGTCAAAAAGGTGGATAAAGCTTGTCAGACTTTAATGCTATTTAGTTTGGGGTTTTTTTTATGAATGAGGCAGCATTACATGTTTTTGTTTTTCATACTTCAAGGATTTAAAACTCTACTAAATAACATTGATCACATGTACATAACTAAAACAATTTCTTTGAACTGTAAATAACTGACAATCATGTTCACACAACATCACCAGGCAATGCAGTATTTGATTGCCCTGAAAGATGAACGCCGAGGACGGGCCAAGTCTGAGGTTCTTGAGGAAGAGGGGTTGTCTAAGAGTGTAAGTAAATGTAGAAATAAAACTTATTTCTCTTCTATAAATAACTCTTGAGTACATGTCATTGTGTAGGCCATGCAGTACATCCTTAAATTGAAAGACGAGCGAAATGGGAAAGCTCGTTCAGAAGTTCTTGATGATGGCTTATTATCAAAGGACGTGAGTATAGAGAGATAACCGGGGGTTTGTATTGCTAGTTCACACCCGGGCTGCTTGTGTAGTTGTGTAGTGGCTCAGCACTTATTAATTAACATACTAACGAGTGTTTATTTCATTATTTTTTATTTATAATATTTACAATTTACACTTGTTAATTATTTATACTAATGAGTGTATTTTTATTCATATGCAATTTATTATTTATTACTCTATTTATCCAACTATATGACTATAACCCCAGTGCAGGTATGACTATTAAGCTTATGTGGTAACTTTATTCATAAAGGGAATTTTAAATTGTTACGAGGCCATGATCAGATAAAAAATTGTTTTGAAATTCCAGATATAAAAGGATATAGGAAAATCTTCATATCAAGGATTACAAATCTCAAAATGACTAAAAGTGAGCATACATGCCCATCAATGTTGATTTAAGCTTGTTCAATATTTGGTCATTCGGAAAGAAATGGTAAATAAATCAGTTTGTTTTCTAAATGGAAGAAAATAAGACAGATATACAGTCATACACAAAGAAGGCCCAATTTTTTTTTACCAGGCTAGAATTCTAAATTACTTTTTTACTTGTTTGGACAAATCTCTTACTTTACATATATACATTTTATGGCCTTTACATTTAAAACAGAGGAGGATATTAAAAATAAATTACAAACTGGGGCTTAATAAATTCCTGGCCTTGTGACACTGAGGTGATTATTAAACGTTGCAAGTCTATTCCTTAATATTTTAATTATTTAAGTATAGAAATATTGCATTTATATATTAGTAATATAGAAGATTTCTTTTTATTATGCCCCCAGATCGAAAGATCCCGAGGGTATGTTGTTTTTGTCCTGTCTGTCTGTTTGTCTGTTTATCTGTTTGTCTGTCTGTCTGTTGTCAACTTTAACCTTGCCCATAACTTTTGATTGGTTGGAGCTATGACTTTCATATTTCACAAGTGTATTCCTTGTGACAAGACCTTTCTTTGGGTACAATCATATTTGACCTTTTGACCTTGACCTTGGAGTTTGACCCACTTTAGCAAAATTTCATGAGACTTTAACCTTGCCCATAACTTCTGAACAGTTGGTGCTTGGGGTTTCAAACTTCACATGTGTATTCTTGTGACAAGGCCTTTCTTTGGATACCAACAACTTTGACCTTTTGACCTTGACCTTGGAGTTTGACCTACTTTTGAAAAACTTTAACCTTGGCCATAACTTTTGAACAGTTGGTGCTTGGGGTTTGAAACTTGACATGTGTATTCCTTGTGACAAGACCTTCCTCTGGATAATAACCTCTTTGACCCTTTGACCTTGAGTTAGGAGTTTGACCTACTTTTGAAAAACTTTAACCTTGGCCATAACTTTTGATTGGTTAGAGCTAGGGCTTTCATACTTCATATATGTAATCCTTGTGACAAGACCTTCCTTTGGATACCAACCACTTTTACCTTTTGACCTTGACCTACTTTTGAAAAAATTTAACCTTGGCCATAAATTTTGAACGGTTAGAGCTAGGGCTTTCATACTTCACATATGTAATCCTTGTGACAAGACCTTCCTTTGGATACCAACCACTTTGACCTTTTGACCTTGACCTAGGAGTTTGACCTAATTTTGAAAAACATTAACCTTGGCCATAACTTTTGAACGGTTAGAACTAGGGCTTTCATACTTCACATATGTAATCCTTGTGACAAGACCTTCCTTTGGATACCAACCACTTTGACCCTTTGACCTTGACATAGGAGTTTGACCTACTTTTGAAAAACTTTAACCTTGGCCATAACTTTTGAATGGTTGGTGCTAGGGCTTTCATACTTTACATATTAATCCTTGTGACAAGACCTTCCTTTGGATACCAACAACTTTGACCTTGACCTTGATGTTTTACTTTTAAAAAACTTTAACCTTCGCCATAACTTTTGAACAGTTGCAGCTAGGGCTTTCAAATTTAACATTTTTAGCTCACCTGAGCTGAAAGCTCAAGTGAGCTTTTCTGATCACCCGTTGTCTGTCTGTCCGTCCGTCTGTGAACTTTTCACATTTTCGACTTCTTCTCAAGAACCACTGGGCAAATTTTAACCAAACTTGATACAAAGCATCCTTGGGTGAAGGGGAGTTTAAATTGTTAATATGAAGGGCCAAGTCCCCTTCAAAGGGGAGATAATCAAGAAAATACAAAAATTGGGTGGGCTCATTAAAAAATCTTCTTCTCAAGAACCACTGGGCCAGAAAAGCTGAAACTTAAGTGGAAGCATCCTGGGGTAGTGTAGATTCTAAATTGTTCAAGTCATGACCCCTGGGGGTAGGGCGGGGCCACAATAGGGAATCCAAGTTTTACATTGAAATATATAGGAAAAATCTTTAAAAATCTTCTTCTCAAGAACCACTGGGCCAGAAAAGCTGAAACTTATGTGGAAGCATCCTGGGATAGTGTAGATTCTAAATTGTTCAAATCATGACCCCTGGGGGTAGGGCGGGGCCACAATAAGAACTTCGGGGGGGGGGGGGGGAGGAATTAGGTGAAAAACAGCAAGGCCAAAGTTACTCAGGTGAGCGCTGTGGCCCATGGGCCTCTTGTTTATCTTTTGGCCTGGATTTTGACTTGCATTTGAGAAACTTTAACCTTCGCCATAAGCTGCCATACGGGGGCATCAGTGTTTCACAAACACATCTTGTTGTTCTTTGAAAATGTCTAAATATCCATATATTGCAAATAACTTGCATTTAAATAATTTAGAGTAATACACGCTTACAGCAAAGTCCCAGGGAAACCAATTTCAATTCGTTATAAATGTATTTTTTTAAATCAGTTAACAATGCATTTTAAAACCATGGGGAATAAAAATCACTATGCTGTAAGCGTCTTCAGTTGAATATAGTGTATGGGTTCTGTATTATCCCTTCATGAGAAGGTTATAGTTATAAAACAAATCACAAAATTTGATCAAGATAAAAAAAAAAAAACATCAAGTCTCATTAATTAATTTTAAACAAAAAAGCATGGAAGCATAATCTAATCTTTTTTGGTGTATTGTTGATTGCTTTTTGATTGGACTGTTTTCGATATTAAGGCATGATGATTACAATTCATTTATACGGAAGAAATACCTTTTACAGCATGAGTTTTACCATGCCCTGACTGAAGACGATGTTCCAGATGAAGCAGAGAACATGAAGCCGAAAGACTTGACAGTGGAACTCTTCAGGTTGGATGAGGGTCATATAAAATATTGGGGCACAAATACACAAACACCATCACATGTTTTCTCATAAACAAGGTCAAGCCCCTGTTGACTGAATACTGTGTTGAAAATGGGAGAAATGACTGGCTTGATGTATAGGTTGAAAATCTCCCTCAACTAAATGTGTCAGGAAGTCAGAATATTTCATTTTTTCGATTTTTCTCAATAAGAACTAGAGGTAGACAACTGACAATTAAGTTCATGCTACAAGGGTATCAACATTTATTTTTGAGTCAATATTTCACAAATTCTTTGGTGACCTTGTCATGAGGTTTAATTTTTTCTGTTAATACAAATTGTACAAATGTAAGGTCTTTATACAGAAAATTACTATGACTATCTAATCAAGACAAAGGGCTCAAAGCTTGTGTGACAGATCTGCAAGTTTTACTTTTTTCTTTCAAAGTTTGTTTTTCTTGTTGTTTGAAAGGAGTATTATATACTTCAAGAACTTTATAAGACAGAGGTTTCTTAAAAGGACGTTGAAATGGAAAAAAAGTCACTGTTGCTCCATCATATAAATTTACACCTTGTTTCATCATCAACGTATTACAACATTTTGTTTCCATAGATTGTCTGATGCCTCGGGAAATCTGACATTTAAAGTAGAGAAGACTGGGTCAGTAGCCACATCTGATTTGGACAGCAAGGTGAGTCTATGTACACTGAGGATTGCTGTCTAAATTATTTTCTACAGGGAATTTGACATTAAACATCGAGACTTACAGATCTGTCTTTGGTCAGACTGGCTTAACTAACCTAAGTTTGGATGAGTGTAACAATGAGATTAATATATTTCTGTTGACTTTTTTAACATTAGGATGTGTTTATTGTCGACACCAAGAAAGCTGTCTATGTTTGGATTGGATTGGAAACCTCTGTTGCTGAAAGAAAGAATGCAATGACATATGCCCATGTAAGCAGAGCTGTATTGTCAATATGGATAAATGATGCATCTTGATTTACACCAGTCCCAAACAAGCTTTTATTAATTAATGTTACCATGTATTTTATCCAATTTTTAATTTTTCTTTAAAATATAATTGTAGATCTTACATATTGTTAAGTTCATGATCATTACCATGAAAATTCATTCAAAAGATCTCTGGTGGATTAATAAATTTACTCTTTGTTTGAATTTTCAGAAATATCTACAGAAAACTGACCATCCACTTTTGAGCGTCACATGTCTGTCCGAGGGAAAACATGACAGACAGATCAGAATGGCCCTCAGCGCTTAGTTATCCGAGGACAAAGGCCGAGGCTAATCTAATTCATTAATAAATATTTGATACCCAGAGATAACAGTTTTTGAGCTGAAAGAACCTTTAAATATGTTGTTCTGATGTCAGCAATAATCATAGTGTTATAGTTTTGATGTAGATTTAGCAATACATAGTTTTCTATCCATGGATTTCTTTTCCGAAGATAAAGTTATAAACCAGATTTAGCAATATATATAGTTTTTTTAATAAATGGATTTGTGTTCTAAGGAAAATTAACACCAATTGTTGGAGAAACTCGTTTTTGTCTGTCTTTATCACTAACGTTTTTTTTCACTTTACAAGCTTAATTTATTTTTTTTTTTCATATGTATACAATTATAAATGTTACTTATATTAAGGGTAAAACATGTGGGTTTTGGAGTTTATAATTATTTTTGGAACTCTTTTTTCATTCTTTTCATTTTTTCTAGTTTTATAGTGCTATTTTCTTGCGCAATAATGCTGTATATCGCAGATCATCCTTATATAGAAATAAACGTTATAGCATTTGATGTATTGATGTTTTTTGAAGTGCATGTTGTAACTAGAAAATTGACATATATATATATATATATATATACAAAGAGAGAGACCTGCTAAGAACTGTCATATGAAAGTGTAGCTACAGAACTGTAGCGTTATGGTTTTATATATTAGTCTTTGACCATTACACTACAGATCCCGTAATGAAAATAATGTGCAATTTACGGCGCAAATTTTTCTGCGAACACTTGGGGATAATTTGTCCATTTTATAGCATTGGTCAATCAACTACCTTTCACTCCTTTATTCTAGACAAATTCTTTAACCAATCTATATTTTATTCACTTCCAATTTCTTCATACTCGTCTCTGCAGAGCAATAAATTTGCTTGTTGTGATTTTTTTTTGTCGGACTTCAGAAAATTCAAAATGGTCTGTATAGACGATTATAATAGGTTGGAAGGTGTATAAAATATACAGATTGGTTAAAAGTGTTTCTAGATTTGGGGAGCGAAATATGATTGATTGACCAGTACTGGAAAGTGGAGAATTTCTCCCCAACCGTGCACAAAAATTCTTGCCCCATAAATTGCACATTATTTTCATTACAGGATCTGTAGCATGATGGCCAAAGACTTAAAATATAAAAGCATTACGCTACAGTTCTAAAGCTAATGAAAGTGAAAACTGTTCTTAAAAAAGTAAAAAGTTTAGAATTGATTACAGCACATAAGAAAGATGACAAAAAATTATTCATAGTACACATACAAACAAGAGGCCCATGGGCCACAACGCTCACCTGAGTAACTTCGGCACTGTTGTTCTCAACCAGATTTTCCCCCTTATATTACTTTGGCCCCACCCTACTCCCGGGGGTTGTGATTTGAACAATTTAGAATCTACACAACAAAAAGAAGATTCCTTATAAGTTTAAACTTTTCTGGCAAAGTGGTTCTTCAGGAGAAAATTTTCAAAGATTATTCCTATATTTTTCAATGTAATACTTTGATTCCCTATTGTGGCCCCACCCTCAATATTTCAAGGTAAAACTTTGATTCCCTATTGTGGCCCCACCTTCAATATTTCAAGGTAAAACTTTGATTCCCTATTGTGGCCCCACCTTCAATATTTCAAGGTAAAACTTTGATTCCTTATTGTGGCCCCACCTTCAATATTTCAAGGTAAAACTTTGATTCACTATTGTGGCTCCACCCTACTCCCGGGGGCATGATTTGAACAATTTCGAATCTACATTACCCAAGGATGCTTTCACATAAGTTTCAGCCTTTCATGCCCAGTGGTTCTTCAGAAGAAGTAATTTAAAGATTATTCCTATATATTTTAATGTAAAACTTTGATTCAATTGGAGCTTGGAATTTAATTTTGTTATCTACAAAAATAGTTTGTAAAAATCAATTGTAAACACTGATGTCACTGTAAAGCAGCTTTATCATGGTAAATTTTTAAAAAGTAGGTCAACTCCAAAGTAAACGTCATGAGATCAAAAAATTTGGTACTCAAGAAAGAACTTTTCACGATGAATACACGAGTGAAATATGAAAGCATGCGTAGCCTGACGTAAGCCCATGGCATCTGGTTTAACCGCCTTTATATATTTTCTGCAGGGTCCACGCAATAATGCAGCTAAAACAACCCGTTTTTTTCCTTAAACTCCAATATGCCAACAGAGGAATTGACGCGGTTAATATATGTAATATTCTTAATCACTAAAGGGTCCAGACTTGTATTCCACCATATTTCAAGTTGAAGACTACACCTTGTATTTCCTACAAATATACATCGACTATTGTTTCCAAAGTTTTTAATTGCAAGAAAACCTTACAGGGCCTGGATATCTAATATCTGAAACATAATCCTCCTTCATGTTCATATTCTTCTTCACCCTATAACCACAGTCCTGCTAGATTATTACTGGTGAGGTAAAAATAGTTAATAATGATTACATTAAATCACTCATTTCATTAAAACGTTGATGTTTTTCTTACTATATATAAGGACAAGCATCATCAACTCTTCTTAGTCGAAAAATCATAGGACTTCATATGATGTTGACTCAAAAGTAGGTCACGGTGACCTACTTTTTAAATTTTGCGCCCATTCTTTTTCATAATGATTAAGAGGCATATTTTGAACAATTCAAGTCTTATGATCATCAAACTTCAGATGATGCATCTTGGGTCCTCGGAGTACGTTGACTGAAAAGTAATATATACACAACAACCAGAGGTCTTCGAACCTTGATGGTAGTCTACGTACGATATTGTTATACATCACCACTTTCTAAGGCCCTCATTTCGAACTGGTCTGGACTTTCTTTTCAGTGAGGACTCATAGTTATCATATTCATGCGCCTTGTCGAAAAAGAAACAAAATCAAGAGTACAAATATTTTTTTTGTCACCCGCGTAGCGCAGTGGTTAGAGCATTCGCTCTAGAATCACGGAGTAAGGAGTTGATCCTTACGTCGCGGGTTCCAATCCCACTGCGGGACGTGGAGACCGGTCCTTCGGATGAGACCGTATAAACCGAGGTCCCGTGTCGCAGTAGGTGCTGGCATGCACAAAATAGATCCCTCACTGCTCAATGGCCCTGGGTGCCGAGTTTAGGTCAAAATTTGTAGCCCTTCACCGGCAAGTGGTGGTGTCTCCATATGAGTGAAAACTTCTCGAGAGGGACGTTAAACAACAAACAAACAAAAACAAATATTTATTTTTATGCTGTATCAATTTAAAAATAGCACGTTTTCATTTTCTAAAAAGTTGTGTTATTTATTCTCGCTTTTAAGGACCCTCTTTGCACATTGGTCATTTTTTTCGACATTGAGAAAATTATGAAGGTTTAAAGGTACAAATATTGACATTTTCAATTTTTTTTACTTAGGAAAAATATTCAAAGACATTGAAGTGTTGATGAACAAAAACCACTTGTTTACTTAAGTGGGGAAAATGCATGCAAATAATTTTAGTGTATCTCGCCATCAGAAAATATCATGCAAATAGTGTATTTATCTGTAAATATTCAAATGTGAAGAATCCTTACATAAATTACATATATTGAGTAATAGACTGTAATTTTCCGATTATTGAAGAGCAGATTACTCTTACTCCACAAAGATATCGCTAGAATCAGATTACTTTTGTGAGCAGTGTATAGAAGGTTCTTGAAAATTTCTACTCTAAGAGTCATTATAAAGTCCCTTTATTGTTTAACATGAGGCCCAAAAAACTTTGATCTCCCATTGTGGCCCCATCCTATCCCTGGCGGGGGGGATGGGGGTGGAGGGGTCATGACTTGAACAAACTTGAATCTATACTACCTGAGGATGCTTCCAGGTAAATATAAAGATGATGGCTTTGCTGTTCTTAAGAAGAAGATTTTTAAAGATTTTTCAATATACCTCTATGAAAAACTTTGATCCCCCATTGTGGCCTCATCCTATCCCTGGGGGGAAGGGTTCATGACTTGAACAAACTTGAATCTACACTACCTGAGGATGCTTTCATATAAATATGAAGATAATGGCTTTGCTGTTCTTAAGAAGATTTTTAAAGATATTTTCCTATATATTTCTATGTAAAACTATGATCCCCCATTGTGGCCCCACCCTACCCCCGGGGGTCATGATTTGGACAAAATTGAATCTACAATACCTGAGGATGCTTCCATATAAATATGACCAACCATGGCTTTGCTGTTCTTAAGAAGAAGATTTTTAAAGATATTTTCCTATATATTTCTATGTAAAACTTTGATCCCCCAATGTGGCCCCACCCTACCCCCAGGGGTCATCATTTGAACAAATTTGAATCTACACTACCTGAGGATGCTTCCATTTGAATATCATCAAGCATGGCTTTGCTGTTCTTAAGAAGAAGATTTTTAAAGATATTTTCCTATATATTTCTATGTAAAACTTTGATCCCCCATTGTGGCCCCACCCTACCCCCGGGGGTCATGATTTGAACAAAATTGAATCTACACTACCTGAGGATGCTTCCATATAAATATGACCAACCATAGCTATGCTGTTCTTAAGAAGAAGATTTTTAAAGATATTTTCGTATATATTTCTATGTAAAATTTTGATCCCCCATTGTGGCCCCATCCTACTCCCGGGGGTCATAAAGTGGACAAAGTTGAATCTACACTACCTGAGGATGTTTCCACATAAGTTTCGTCTTTCCTGGCCCAGTGGTTCTTAAGAAAAAGATTTTTAAATGATGACATTATTTTTTCACTAATTCCTAATTATCTCCCCTTGAAAGAGGATGTGGCCCTTCATTTGAACAAACTTGAATCCCCTTCACCCAAGGATACTTTGTGGCAAGTTTGGTTGAATTTGGCCCAGTGGTTCTTGAGAAGAAGTCGAAGATGTGAAAAATTTACAGACGGGCAGCTAGACGACGGACAGACGGACAAAATGTGATCAGAAAAGCTCATTTGAGTCTTCGGCTAGGTGAGCTAAAAACTGTTTTCTACTTTAAATACCTACATATGAAAGTGTCACATTATTTTTTGAATTATTACAAGAAATATAAACAAATCGATTCATATTACTTCGATTCATATTAATTTAATACAGTTGCCTGCGTGGCGCAGTGGAAAAAGCGTCTGCTTTAGAGTCACAGAGTAAGGAGTTGATCCTTACGTAGTGGGTTCGAATCCCACTGTGGGACTTAGAGACCGGTCCTTCGGATGAGACCGTATAAACCAAAGTCCCACGTTGCAGTAGGTGTTGGCACAAAAAAGATCCCTCACTGCTCAATGGCCCTAATTGCCGAGCATAGGTCAAAATTTGTAGCTCTCCACCGGCAAGTGGTGGCGTCTCCATATGAGTGAAAAATTCTCGAGAGGGATGTTAAACAACAAACAAACAAACTTTAATACAACAGATGTCACATATATATTTCTTTGTAAAGAGGATATAGTGCAACCAAAGCTGAAGAATATTCTTCATTTTGAGGCCAAATAAGAGGTTCATGGGCAACTACACTCACCTGTAAAAACATATTTATTCACTATAATTTAGTTCACATACATGTATACATGATTGATACAGAAAGAGATACACCGTACAATCAGTTCAGCTTTCCAGGCTCTGTTAAATATGAGTAAAAAGAGGCTCATAGGCCACATCGCTCACCTGAGCACATTGGCTAAGAAAAAGAACAAATCAGTTCAGTATTGAAAAGTTAAAAGGGGAGGGGGGGGGGGGCTGAGGAAGCCTCCATATCAATATAACAAATGGCTTTGCTGTTCTTGAGCAGCAGAATTTCAAAGATTTTTTCCTATATATTTCCCTTGCTCAAAATTTGATCCCCCATTGTGGCCCCTCCAACATCCCCCCTCCCCCCCCAAGGGGGAATCATCGTTTGAACAAACTTGAATCTACTCTACCTGAGGATGCTTCAATATGACTAAAAATGGCTTTTCTGTTTTTGAAAAGATTTTTTCCTTTATATTCCTATGTAAAACTTTGATCCCCCATTGTGGCCCCACCCTAATACTGGGGGGTCATGATTCAAACAAAGTTGAATCTTCACTATCTGAGGTTGAATCCATATCAATATGACTTAACAAAGCTTTGCTGTTCTGAAGAAAAATTTTTTTAAGTTTTTTTCCTACATCTTCCTATGTAAAACTTTGATCCCCAATTGTGACCCCACCCTACCCCGGGGGGTCATCATTTGAACAAACTTGAATCTACACTACCTGAGGATGCATCCATATCAATATGACTAATCATGGCTTTGCCATTCTCGAGAAGATTTTTCCCAATATATTCCTATGTAAAACTTTGATCCCCCCTTGTGGCCCCACCCTACACCCGGGGTGTCATGATTTGAACAAACTTGATTCTACACTACCTGAGGATGCTTCCATATCAACATGACCAATCATAGCTTTGCTGTTCTTGAGAAGAAGATTTTTAATTTTTTTCCCTATATATTCCTATGTAAAACTTTGATCGTCCATTGTGGCCCCATCCTACCCTCAGGGGTCATGATTTTGACAAATTTGAATCTATACTACCCGAGGAGGATTCCATATGAGTTTCATCATTCCTGGACCAGTGGTTCTTGAGAAGATTTTTAAAAAGATGCTATCAATTTTTCACGTATTTGTAATTATCTCCCCTTGGAAGAAGGCATGGCCCTTCATATGAACAAACTTGAATCCCCTCCACCCAAGGATACTTTGAGGCAAGTTTGCTTGAAACTGGCCCAGTGGTTCTTGAGAAGAAGTCGAAAATGTGAAAAGTTTACAGACAGACGGGCAGACAGACAGACGGACAGAGAGACGCCGGACAAAATGTGATCAGAAAAGCTCACTCGAGCCTTCGGCTCCAATGAGCTAAAAAAGCCACTCTTTTTAAAAAGAAATCAATCAAAAATAAAAGGACAAGAAGTTTAACGAATTTATAAAACTTTCACAGAAGTAGGAAATAAAATAAAATCAATGATTTTGGAAATACTTACGGGACAAAAAATGCCTATATATACATTGATAGACATACATAATGCAATTACTGTATATGTCAAAATTTGTCTAGTATCTGTTCACTAAAAGTGTAATTAATAATTACATGATGATCTGTGATTTAAGAAAAAAAAACTTTGATGGACATATGGACAGCTATACTGACAGTGTGATTCCCGTAAGTCCCAAGAAGTTGTCTAACGCAGGTAGAAAGAAGTTGTCTAACACAGGTAGAAAATTATTGATTTGACTGTTGATTCACATACAGATAGATCAACAAAGTGACCTTGTCCATCATTCACCGTCGTTTTAAAAAATACAATTTTCAGTGAGCTCTTCAGCAATTTTAAGTCCCACGTTGCTCAGTAGAAACATTTAATATACGTGTATATTTATATATTAAATCATAAATTGTAAATATATTGATCCCACTGGATATTAAGTATACAATACACAAGCAAAATAAAGTAAACATATCACAAGGAACAAAGTAGGATTGCAAATCTGTGTTTTTTAAAATTTGCAATTGTGAATTAGAATATACCCTTTTCTTCCGGCACTTGCATACAAGTTTGAATTATGCAGCTACTTTAAAATAGGTACAAGTAGTAGGATACACAATTGTTTAAAACAAACTCTCCCGCACTTACCATCTTATAAAATTAAGTAAAACATGCAATTCTTTAGTATTCTACACAACATTCTACGAGCTCCTAATTTGTAGCACCTCTATTGGGCTTGCTCAGTGTTTCTAATTCTTGGACATTTGATTTGATTGTCTCCAAACTTTCTTGCATTTTAACATTCTTATAATATTATACTTTCATGTAAATTAGTTGAATCTGATTCGTCGAGAAAGATTTGTTAAAAAAACTTTTACCCGCTTAATGATGAAGCCACGCTCTCCAGCGTAGCAACAGTAAACATTGCTTGACGACGGGTGATATTCCATAAAAATAGTAACTGCACAGATATTATATGCGCAAGGTCCACTGTTATTTGTATTTGTATCAAAAATTCAGTATAATATAATAAATATTGCACGTAGTAGAGTGTAACGTTGAAAAATTTCACCCCTCAAAAACCATTGCCATCCTCGGTTGACAACGGTTTTCTTGCGTTGAAATTTTTCAATGTTACACTCTACAACATGCAATATTTATATAATAGCATCCCCAGCTTCCTTTCTCAAGTATAGTGTTTTAATATTATACAGGTTAACCAAGTACTTCTTTTCAGTGAAGGTTTCTTATCTTTGACAGATATCCAACATGATTGACCAGATGTCATTGAATTCTGTCTGAGAGTTGGAGGCCGAACTCATGTTCATTAAAAATGTTATATGTGTTCTGTATTTTGGTAATCCTTCTCTCCATATGTTCTGGGTATATTTACATAGCTTCCTTTTAATTTCTTTAAAATCTAGTAATAGCTGGATAAGAAGCACATAAATGTTAAGCTTTTCATATATTTTCAATTTTTGAGCACCATTTTCATGATTATTGTAATCCCAGTAGAATGATTTGTTTTGGTAAGTCAGTCCTTGTCCATCATTATCAAACAGTTCCACATCCAGAACACATTTAACCATCAATTTTATAAATGCGAGCCATCCAACTCCGCCATTTAAAGTCAGAAGGAAAGTAAATCTACGTAATACTAAAAATACCTTAGTGCACGATTCTGAAGGCTATCCATACATGAGTCACTATTGAAACCCTATACACAGAACAGTAATCCAAAAGAAGTACAATACATCAGTACATATATTGAATAATGATTGGAGGGTTAAAAATCAAATATCATTCTATGGATGTATTTCTTTAAATGAGTGCACCTACTGCTCACCCATCTCCTCTCACAAAGTCTCTGCTGCTTCCTAAAATTTTGATTTTTCATGCTCCACAATTGTTAAAGGCTGGTTTTCAATTTTTTAAAAGTTAAAGTCACTCTACATATGTTCGATGCATAAAAATTCTAATTTGGGAATCATTGCCTGTCGCCATCAATTTTGCGTTAAATTTTTCTTATCTGACTTAACTTCTCGCATATCTGACATTAATTTTTGCATATCTGACATGACTTTCTTCAACATATCATGTTGTTCCTTGTTAACTTTTTCTATGATAGCTAAAATAGCATCTTCATCTTTTAAAGTCAGTTTATAAATGCTATTCAGGTTATCCAAGTAATTCTTTCCAGTGTAGGTTTCCAATCTTTGGCAGATATTGGTCATCGTCGTCCATGTTTTAACGAATTCTGTCTGAGAGGTGGAGGCTGAACTCACATGAGCAGTCAAACTGTTTCGGATGGACCTAATTCTCTCGATATCATCACCCACTGTTACCTCCCCTGCTGCAGGCTCTTCTCCCCATTTTCCTTTGGTTGGTTTAGGGATCGTTGAACATATGTTTCTGATCAATGTGTATGTTAATGAAATGTCAAAGTTCTTATATCCTGATTGTTGAGGATTTTGTAAGAGATATTCTTGCTCTGGGCGTAATCTTTTATAAATTGATGATGCTTTCACCTTGTTGTAAATTAGGAAAGGGGGAACCTCCATCTCTAGTATATCTCTGTATGCCTGATTTAACACATCGTTTGTTGCCATTCCAAGTTTTGCAAATCTCGATCGTCCCTCAAGGTCATGTCCGACAGAAGTCAATGGAGTTTTAGAAAGACTCATTTTTGTCTGAAATAAAATTAACCTTTATTGAACAAATTGGATAAATTTACTTAGCAGATACAAACGGAAGTATAAAGATCAAAATTGTGTACAGATTTGTGAAAACAGAGCAAGTCCGTAATCTGATTTTTTTTTTTCAGTAAGATTAAATTTAATGCTGTCATGATGCTATTTGTGAGCTTAAAGAGATTTCAAATTTAACATTTTCATCAGATCATGTAATTTAACGTGAAATGGATCTCATTACTACTAGGTCATGTAAATAAATAAAAGGAAACCAAATATCTTTGAGATATGTTTCTCCATTATTACGCTTTTATTTGGACAAAATTGTAGTAACAGGATGATAGACAAACAAGATGATTCTACATAGCTTTTATTTAATTTAGGGATATAGTTTAGTTAATTAACAATATTTACCTTTTCCCAAAAACTCTTAGTTGCCTGTACATTTATCATATGTTTCTCCTGAAGTTGACACTTGCACTGCGTTTCTTCAGCCTTGATATTGGAGAGCTCACTTGCAAGGGTAAAAGATAGATCTTTCTCATTACAAATAATGTTTTGACATTTGAATCCTCTATGGAATATTTTTGTGTCAATAAATGTTTCTGTCAATTTTTCTATTGCCTTATCAATGGAGTCTCCAATTTCATTTGATACTTCTTTGTCTACAGTTAATGGTTTGATTCTGAACACTTGCAACTGAATATCATCATTGCATATGCCAATAACAACAGTGTGTTCATTGTGATCAAACGCAGCTGCTGTTTGATAAAGACACAGATTTCCTTCATTATCTTCATCTTTTGCAACACTCCATCTTAGAAAACTTATGCAGTATGCTACCAGTCTGTAGAACACAAACATGGCAAAGGAAGTAAATCGATAGCACAAAACGGATGAGCATTCCCATTTATCTTCACGGAAGTCAGCTTTAAACTGCTTTTTGTTCATACATGGGACATACCATGACATGCCGCCTTCTGATACAGCCTCAAATGCATTCAAATGTACCAGCATTTGAAGTTTCTCCATGTATGGCATAATTTCACTTTTATGTTTCAAGTAAGAGGGTTCATCTTGCCACAAAGCATCTATCACTTTATCTTTAAGTTCCCCCGTTTTGTTGAAGGATTTCCACTCTTTGATTAATTTCCTTTTACAATCTTTATTGATGTGGTTTTCATCTGCAATTACCTTATTGAAAGCATTAGCAAACCACTGAATGTCTAGAATAACATGTTCCCTCAATTCATCTTCTTCAAAATTCAAAAGAAGGCCATTGTCATGGAAACATTTTAAAAATTTAGACATTTCCTCATCACTTTTGATTTGGTATTCACGTGGAAGAGATAAGTTGAGCTTCCAGATTTCACTCAGGGACAAAACCTTCCAGGCTCCTTCATATAATAACTGCTCCATTAAAGCCCATGAAGAAGGCAGTTCAATTTTTGTATTGTTCTCATCTGTAAATAAGTCCACTATGGACTTCTTTATTGACTCTAGCATTTCCTTGGTATTATCATTAAGTTCCTTTAGACCTACTGCATATTCCTGATCATTCAGAGACTCACTCAACCAATCTCTGTCCTCATCTGGTACAGCTTTCCAGAACTCCCCAAAATACTTCTCTATTTCCTGAAGTAAACAAAGCAAGCATAGTTATATTAATACATTATTGTGTGCTATGATTTTAATACTGTTAATGCTAAATTGTGTGTTGATGTTTGAAAATCTGGAGTTCATGTGTTTTGGAATTAAAATGGTAATTAGTTTAAACCGATTACAGATAAAACTGTAGATCTGGTATCCATTGTAGAATAACAATACCACTTTGGATGTAAAGCAGTCAAAAGGTAGCTTCTCTGAATCGAAAGATTTTTTTTATAACTTTTGTATGCTATGTGTATACAATGTGTTCTAATACTGAACACTTTTAGAAACTTTAAATTTATTTGAATGATTTAAAATTCACAAAAGAAACACTAAAAAAAACCTTTTTTAACAACCTAATTAATATTTGCATGTTGAAACCACTCACCCTCATTAATGATGTTACTTTTTACAGACATGGTTTGAATCCACCTGATACATGAACTACATATTTACAGTTTTACGTTTTTCCAAACTCTTGCCTCTTTAAACACTGTCTTATTTTTTTATCAATGCTAATTTAGATTTCTTAAAGGCATGTCTTTTTTGACATGGTATCAGGGTTCTCCACATTTAAAAATTTAACCATGGAGGAAGCTGTGCGAAGGTGAAATGTGACCGAAAACACAAATGTATGTTAGAATTCCTAACCTTCATTAATCAATGATTAGTTCCACAAAACTTTACCACTGCAACACAGAAAGTTGACATAACCAATAATTTTTAAAGCTAAAAACTAAAAAAAAAAAAATAAAAAAGGTTAAGTATCTTACTTTCCAAATGTGTACCAAAATTGGCCCAAAACTAACATTTTGAAGGAATTTCAAAAAAAATATTTCAGTGATAGAGTAACCATGGCAACATTATTCAAAAACTGATATATACAGAATTGATGTTGCCTGTTGTATGAAACATTTCATTTATAAATATTACTAAAACTGATAAATGGGTAGTATTTTGAAAACAAGAGGCCCATGGGCCACTTCGCTCACCTGAGCACATTGAATAGGCAAAAGCACAAACAGCTCAGTATTGAAAAGATTAACCGGGGGGGGGGGGGGGTGTTAAACTACCTGATGTTGCTTCCATGTCAATTTAACAAATGGCTTTGTTGTACTTGAGAAGATTTTAAAAAATTTCCCATATATTCCTTTGTAAAAATTTGATCCCCAATAGTGGCTCCTTCCTATCCCATAGGTCATCATTTGAACAAACTTGAATCTACAATACCCGAGGATGCTTCCATATGAATATGACTAAACATAGCTATTCTGTTCTTGAGAAGAAATATTTTTCTCTACATGTTCTTATGTAAAATTTTCGATCCCACATTGAGCCACACCCTACCCCCGGGGGTCATCATTTGAACAAAATTGAATATACCTAACCCTGAGGATGCTTCCATATCAAAATGACTAAACATGATTTTCAGTTCTTCAGAAGAAGATATTTTCGTATATGTTCCTACGTAAAATTTTCGATCCCTAATTGTGATCCCACCCTATCCCCGATTGTCATCATTTTAACAAACTTGAATCTACACTATCTGAGGTTTCCACATCAAAATGACTAATCATGGCTTTGCAGTTCTTCTTCAGAAGACATTTTCCTATACATTTCTATTTAAGACTTTGATCCTCCATTGTGGCCCCACCCTACCCCAGGGGATCATGATTTGAACAAAAAAGAATCTACACTACCTGAGGCTGCTTCCATATAAATACGACCAATCAGGGCTTTGCTGTTTCTGAGAAGGAGATTTTTAAAGATTTTTCCTATGTACATGTATTTCTATGTAAAACTTTGGTTCTTCATTGTGGCCAAACCCTACCCCGGGGAGGGGGGTCATGATTTGAACAAACTTGAATCTACAGTATCTGAGGGTGCTTCCGTATAAATATGACTCAACATGGCTTTGGTGTTCTTGAGAAGAAGATTTTTAAAGATTTTTCCTTTATATTTCTAAGTAGAACTTTGATCCTCCATTGTTGCCCCGCCCTACTCCTGGGGGTCATGTTTTGAACAAACTTGAATCTACATTACCTGAGGATGCTTCCATATGAATATGACTCATCATGGCTTTGCTGTCCTTGAGAAGAAGATTTTTAGATTTTTCCTATATATTTCAATGTAAAACTTTGATCCTCCATTGTGGCCCTGTCCTGCCCCCAGGGGTAATGATTTGAATAAACTTGAATCTACACTACCTGAAGATGCTTCCATATAAATATGACTCATCAAGGCTTTGCTGTTCTTGAGAAGAAGATTTTTAAAGAAGATTTTTCCTATATATTTCTATGTAAAACTTTGATCCTTCATTGTGGCCCTGCCCTATCCCCGGGGGTCATGATTTGAACAAACTTGAATGTACACTACCTGAGGATGCTTCCATATGAGTTTCATCTTTCCTGGCCCTGTGGTTCTTGAGAAGAAGATTTTTAAAGATTTTTCCTATATATTTCTATGTAAAACTTTGATCCTCCATTGTGGCCCCGCCCTACACCCGGGGGTCATGATTTGAACAAATTTGAATCTACACTACCTAAGAATGCTTCCATATAAATATGACCAATCATGGCTTTGCTGTTCTTCTTCAGAAGATTTTTAAAGGTTTTTCCTATATATTTCTATGTTAAACTTTGATCCTTCATTATGGCCCTGCCCTACCCCCGGGGGTCATGATTTGAACAAATTTGAATTTACACTACCTGAGGATGCTTTCACATGAGTTTCATCTTTCCTGGCCCTGTGGTTCTTGAGGAGAAGATTCTTAAAAGATGCTATTAATTTTTCACTAATTCTCTATTATCTCCCCTTGAAAGAGGGCGTGGCCCTTCATTTGAACAAACTTGAATCCCCTTTACCCAAGGATACTTTGTGGCAAGTTTGGTTTAAATTGGCCCAGTGGTTCTTGAGAAGAAGTTGAAAATGTTAAAAGTTTACAGACAGACAGACAGTCGGACAGACAGACGGACGCCGGACAAAAAGTGATCAGAAAAGCTCACTTGAGCCTTCGGCTCAGGTGAGCTAAAAATAGTTACATGCACACAAACGAATAGACGAACAAACACCGACATCCTGCCTATGTCTAAGCTTTTTAAATAAAAACTTACTGATGGCATGCATGGTAAGAGTAAATTATTATAACCAGAGGCATATATTTGACATAACTGTAATGTTGCTTTCTCTATTCTGTTTTTTTCTAAAAGTTCTTTTTTTTTTTACATATTGCATTTTTCGCCGAGTTTCCTCCCTTGTTTACTTCTCCACGCGCCCCAGTGCTTAAAATAGCACCATGCGACATTTCCTAAAACGGGAGGTAACTCTAAAAGTAATGAGGAATTGAATAAATACAAAGAATAGGGAATTTTGAAAGGGTTAATTTTTTCTGGGCACAGAAACTTGAATCGGATGCGTGTCAATTATCATGTTGTTACTGCTCGTTATGTCATCTTTTGTAAATATGTTATCGTATACTGAACACGTTGGAATTCCCCGAAATTACATGTGTATAGGATAATTAACTCTGAAGATATTGATCATCAGCTGATTGACTCTCCATTGTCACGCTTCACAGCATAGTCGTTTGTTTAGCCCAGTCGGATGCTTCCCCTCAAGGCATGCGAGGTGCACGACAGTTGTAATATAAACACACTTAACTACTCATCGTTAAAAAGTAGGTATCAATACTGAAATTAAATAAAATTTTTATCATGGCGGCCCCCGATTTTAACCATGGCGCAGCTCATTTAACCATGGCGGGTCGCCATAGTAAAACCCCTTGTGGAGAACCCTGGGTATGCTCATCGTTAATCCTCAATGTTAAGGAATAATTAATTTTAACTACATCTCTGTGAAGGATAAAAAGCAGTCACTTTGTGTTACATGTACTCTTTATAGGAATTCAAAAAGCTGCAATTAGTTGCTATCGTATATACAATCTACTTGTATAGTAATAAAAGACAGATGTTAAGTGGTAGCATATCAGAACAACTTAATTTAATCAGATTGCTACTCCAGCATGCTAGATGTTTATGGCGAAATACTTTTGACTTGGTGCTGCTGAAACCCCAAGTGGAAAAAAAATATTCAATAACACCAACTATTCAAAAGTTATGGCCAAAGTTAAGTTTTTCAAAAGTAGGTCAAACTCCAAAGTCAAGGTCAAAGGGTCAAAATTGTTGGTATCTAAAGAAAGGTCTTCCACAGGAAATGCATATGTGAAGTATGAAAATCTTAACACCTACTGTTCAAAAGTTATGGCCAAGGTTAAAGTTTTTCAAAAGTAGGTCAAACTCCAAGTTCAAGGTCAAAGGGTCAAAGTTGTTGGTATCTAAAGAAAGGTCTAGTCATAAACAAGAGGCCCAAGGGTCTTAATGGTCACCTGAGTATAATACAACAATTTAGAGGATCCATAGAGTATAAAATGAACTGAAAGGTGAAGCTTTGTTGCCCAAAAGCAAGAAAAATAGGGTGATCAGGATCAACAAAATAATTAGTCTACTGTTCATTAACAGTTCATAAATTAGTTTCTAAATCTGTTCCCCATTTATCACTATCACCATACAGTATATGAACAAATTATCAGTGATTCTGTACTATTTCAATTCCTGGATGAAATCCCTTACATTGGAATCTCTTGGTCTTTGATGTACATTGAATAAGACAAGTTATTTTTGTCTCATTTTTATTTATCTGTTACTTACAAGTCTACCTGATCATTAAGACTATAAAAGTACTTTTTGTATTATACAATAAAAAATCTTGCATAATTCTCCTCTTCTATTAACCTTTCAAGTACATTATTTACAGTGATTAATTATCAAATGTAAATAGCAAAGGGGAATAACTCCTCTCAGTTGAATACAAATTAATAGAGCTCTGGCCAGGACCAGAACACTTGACAAAATGGTCCAGATGTTCAAAAATCTTTTTTATATTAAAAATTTTACTCTTTTTGCCTCTGATATGTCCAGGTGCAGAGA